GGACTTCTACTCCTGGACTGAAAAGTTAATCATTTCCCTCCTTGCTACACAACGTCTACCTTTACATTTCCAACCCACACAATCAGTTCTGATAACAATTATTCACCATTGTATCACAAAAGACCTAAGGAGCTCTGGTAGCGTAGTGGTTACAAATCAGGCTGTGAACCTTAAAGTCAGCAGTTCGAAACTACCAGCCAGTCCACAGAAGAAAGATGACGCTTTCTGCTTTCATAAAGATTTACAGCCTTGGAAACCCTGTACAGGGTCGCTATGGGTTGAAACCGACTTGACGGCACTTAACAACAACAACATCACAAGAGACCTATCTGCATTTCCTTTCATCAGCCCCGCCTAGAAAGATTGGATACTACTCAGTGGAGATTCTACCTTCCTCCATGCCCTCTGGATCTAGGTTCCCTCTTGAAAGCTTGTAAGCCAGTCACTTCTTGCCTTTGTAGCCGCCCCATTTTGGGTAGCCAATGTTCAAGTTACCCAAAATGGGGCGGCTACTCTGTGTACCGAGGGGGTGGGAATGATCCTCATTGTAAAGATTTGTTCCCTCTTTTGAGCTACTGCATCCATAGGTGTAGGTCAAGTTCATCCAACTGTATCAGATTACTCTTTTTTTCCTCTTCTTTCTTCTTCTAGTTGAGCTCTGATTATCCAGTCATTGAAGCCAGGTCAAGTGGGTATTATCTGCAAGTGTGGGTGTTCTTGTGCATATGCCCTCTCTTCTTATCAGCTGGACACTTCACTCTCCACTCTGGGCTGAAGAGTCCCCAGGTCTTGCCAGACTTCTGGGCAATCAGTTCTCCACCCAGGTTCACAGGACTCTATTGAACATTGTAGGGCTTAGCTTGCAGCTTCATTGCTGTTTTTCCTTCACTTCTCCTTATCGGTGATGAACGTGGTCACCAATAAGAGTGTGTATTCCAACTGAGTCTTAATCTTGGAAGGGGGTTTGCTCTGAGGGGACCTGACCACTTGTCTTGATGTCTCCTAGGCTTAGCATAATTTGCTTGTTCTTGTAGTAATCAGTCGGTCTGCCTATATTGCTTTGTATTTTTCCTGTTGGTCTTTCTTTCAAGAAGTATCTTCTGTTCTTCTAGCTGCTCCAGGCTGGTTGCCTGTTATTTCAAGAGGAAATTTCCCACCTCTGAAGATTCTGGATGTGGTTCAGGATTCCACCTATGGTCTTACGTAATGCAAAGGCTCTGCAGGAAGCCTCCTTCACTGGGCACGTTGTATCCCCATTTTAGGTATTCCAATCTGTTATAGGCAGAAGACGGACTTACAAGCTTTCTATGGTGATATTTCTGGTTATTTCTTTCTCTCCCCCTCCAGTTCTCTATTTTATAATGGTATGCAAGGAAAACCAAGATTTAAAAGACAGGCAAGCATCTTAACATTATTTTCCCCCTTTTCCCATTCCAACCATGTCTCAATCCCTGTATCCCAGAGCCCTGTTGTTCCAAGTTTGTGCATACATCATTCTTTACCTCTGTCCCACTTAGCCCATGCAAACCTGCCTAATTGTTTTCCCATCCACTTTGTTCTTCCATTCCCATCTCCCTTCTTGTACATTGCCCCCCTCCCCAGCACCCAAACTATGTTGTGTCTATTCCCTGCCCTGTGCTCCACCTTCCCCTCCCTCCCCTCATTTCACCCTTCACACCTCAGCAACAAGCAAAGAACACACCCCTTTAGTATGGGTTCTTTTTCTTAGTCTTTTACAGTAATGGTCCTATGCAGTAGTTCTCCTTTTATGACTAATTTCACTCAACATAATGTCCTTGAAGTTCATCCATGTTATATGGTGGCTTGCAGCTTCCTTGTTATTCTTCAAGTTAGCATAATATTCCACTGTGTGTATGTACCACAGTTTGTTTATCCATTCTTCAGTTGATGGGCACTTTGGCTGTCTCCATCATTTTGCTATTCCATTTGGTTTTAAGTGGCAACTGTCACTTTCAATTTCGAGGAGATCTGTGTGTATGTGTAGTAGAACCCTCCAGGGGAACGGCTGGGGTGTCCATTCATTCAGGCGCCCCCTCTAGTCACCAGAATGGAGGTGCGCAGACAGCAAGAGACCAATGAACAGATACCAAAAAAAAAAAAAAAAAAAAAAGAATGCCCACACCTGTAACTCCGTGGTTCTGTCAGGTGTTCAAGGCTGTTCTGATCCTTCCCATACTTGGTCTTTCCCAAGATGGTGGCTCTGAGATCAGCTGAGCATCTTGAATTAGAAAGCAATGGATTTCTTTTTTTGGTCCATAGAATCCTCCAATATTGTAACCTGATTTTTTTAACTTTAATTCAGTTCTTTAAACTTGCTTTTGCCTAAATCTAGGTCTTTGTGTATTTCATTAAAATATTTTACTTTGTCTTCTCTAGCTGTTCTTTGAATATTTCTGTTCATCTATTTTGCTCCATCTTTTTTTTTTCCTGGTTGCTTTAGTCATTCTATAGTCAAGAGCAAGTTTTTGAGTCTCTTCTGATATCCACTTTGGTTTTTCTTTCTTTCCTGACTTTTTAATAACTTTTGATTTTTTCATTTATGATTCTTGATGTCATCCCACAACTCCTCTGATCTTTGGTCATTAAAGTCTAATGCATCAAATCAGTTCTTGAGATAGTATCTAAATTCAGGTGGGATCTACTAAGGTCATATTTTGGCTCTTGTGAACTTGTTTTAATGTTTTTCACCTTCAGCATTAACTTGCATACAAGCAGCTGATAGTCTGTTCTACAGTCAGTCCCTATTTTGGTATTGAGCTATTTTGGTATTGAGCTTCTCCATTGTCTCTCCCCACTCATGTCTCTCCGTTGTCTCTCATGGGATCTAAAGCATTTTTTCTTTCACCTAGGCCATATTTTCAAACTACCAACCTTTTGAATTCAACTTTTGAATTCCAATCACCAGTAATTATCATGGCAAGAAATAAAGCTCAGTCATGCTTTTGAATGCAATGTCAGTCAGCATCCACAGCAGGTCCAGAGGCTCCGCAGGATCTTTTGGTGAATATTCCCTTCACTGTCCCACTTTTAAATGTTTGGGACTTTTCCTCCATCCCTCCTTCCTTTCCTCCCTCTTTCTTTCTTCCCTTCCTTTCCCTCTCTCTTTCTTATAGCAATGATTCAACATTTATTTAGTAATTAATGAGACTTTGGATATTCCCTCTAATGATCTACCTTTAATAAAACCTGATAGATCATTCACTATATTTGGGTTTAATTTCCTCATATATCCCTGTCCTTCTTTAGTATAGCATGGCTTTGGGCCTGAATTATTCTAATCTTTCATACCTGTTTCAACCAACTGGTTAGTTTTCTTTTGTATTGTGGTTTTGTGTGTGTGTGGGGTCATCCACTGAAATGCTTTATCATTTTCTATTTTCATATTTGTATACATGAAGACTGCTTCTGTCTATTCATTACTTGGACAGGCTATTAGCTATAGAGCCAATTTCAAGATTCATAGTTCAATAGCACCCTTGCTCTCCGTATAGGACAGAGCTCTTTCTTTAATGATAGCTTCCCCCCCTCCCCTTTTTTATTTTTAAGTTTGAGGAGGGATTTGTGGTCTCTGATTTTTGGGGGTAGGCGTATCACTTTTGTCTTGCAGGACCCTAAAATTTCCCTTACTACTCCTCCCCCCGCCCCCCCCCCCTTAACCACCTAGTCTTGGAGATTTGGTTCATTGCTACACAGATGGATATATATCAGCACTCATACTATTTGATCTCTTAGCTGTTTTCAACACTATTGACCATTTTTTCGTTCTTTAAATTTTCTTTTCTTACTTTTCCTCTTACCTGTAAGGCAATTCTTTCCATCTCTCTTTATCAGACACATTCTCCTCTGTTGGTTATTAATTATTATTTTTTTCTCAAAGTTTGGCTATAAATTTATTTCTTTGGGGAGCTACATCCTTGCCCCTGGCTTCAGTTAACATCTACGTTCACATGATTCCCAATTTTTATCTCAAGACTAGAACTTTCCTCTGAGTTCTGGACTCACGTGTCCAACTGAAAATGCATATACTTAAAGGTACCTCAGTCTCAATATATTGAAAACTGAACTCATTTTGTTCCTTACTCAATATATCATCGCTTCAGCTACAGAAACCAGAAAGCAATTAACAACAACAACAACGTTGTAGTGTTGAAAACAGAAAAACCTGTGTCTTGTTGACAGAATTACGATATTTACAGAGGCAATATTTTCTCCAGAATTAGTTATCATCTTATCTACCAAATGTGTGGTGCTTTTGTGCATTTGTGTGTATTCATCAGGCAGTGGCAGTGAACTAAAAGAGATAGGACATCTGTGCAAAGTCTTCCCTTCCACTCTAGTTTCTCGAACTTCTTGTATATACCGTTATTAAAATACTGATGACCCTAAGGATGGCCGTTTACATATTTATTTTTCCCAGTGATTGCACGCTCGTTGAGGACAAAATATAGGTCTTATTTCCAATAAGCTCCGTGTTGGTATTTGTTTACAGATTTATTTTTTTTCCATTAGACTGTGTATTCCTTGAAGGAAGAATTTACATCATATTTTCAATAAGCGCTGTGCTTGGAATTTAGTAATGATGAATTAAGGACTAAGATTATTAATTAATACTTAATGAAGCAGCACTGCCACTTACTCTGAGAAAAACACTCATATGAGCTTCAGTTATATCAGATCAATATGCGTATTTGCTCAAGTAAATGAAAGAACACTCCTCTCTTTAGCCGCGTTCGGCACTCAGCCTACGCTGAGTTTTGCCGTCGTCCTCCTTTCCCACAGTTCCTTCTCTTACGTGATCGTCCAATCCCAACCCTAGTCAGTTCGCGCCCCGCCTACTCGTCACCACGTAATTACGAGTGGGTCGCACATTACTGACGTCACTAACAAGTGCGGCTCCACCACCTTCCTACCCATGCTGTCTGCTTGACTGCGGTCTCCAACGATTCTCCCTTCGCCCGGGAGTGGAGTTTGTAGCTGTCATCCTGGTCGGGAGGCCTGCGGCGTGACAGACTCTCCAAGATGTCAATGCTGGCTGAGCGTGAGTGTTGGACCTGGGACCCGAATAGGGCACGAGGGTGAAGATTCCAGGGTGAGGCGACCGGCTGGACTGTGAGACAGGGAGCGCGGTCGCTGGCACTTAGAGGGGCAGAGGTTGCAGCCCTGTGGTTGAGGGCTAGGGAAGTCCAGCAGTGCTCGCCCTGCCTCAGAGATTTTTCAGTGTCAGCCTTCTCCGAAAGTTAACTAGCAGTATGCTTGTGGAAGACTACGCGTTCCCTCGGTTCTCTGGGTCCTCACACTGACCTAGAGGTGCGAGCAGTGTGTTCAAATGGCAGTTAGGACAAAGGGTCCGAACTCATGAGAACCTGGACTGTTTTGTTAACTTCTCTGGACGTAAGTTTTCTCAGGTTGACAGAGGAACTTGGTCTAGAAGGGTCTCTGGACCTTACATCTTTCTTTTGATGTAAGTGAAATCCCATTTTTGAGAATACGTTGAACTCAGAAAAAGGAAGAAGTCCCTGGGAGGTGCAAATGATGAACAATTGGCGGACAAAGAAAAGCCAAGGGGTTAAAAACATCAAACACAGGAAGTTAGCCTTTTTCTGGGGGTATGGGGGCGGGGGCTAATGAATAATTCAAAGTAAGGCTGTAGTTATTATAATTTTGATGTTATTGAAGTTTTTAACTGTTTTCCATGATAAGACTGTTGACTTCAATTCTCCATCCTGCCTCAGTTTGTCTTTGACATTTACTCTCACTTTACGTATTGTTGTTGTTTTGTTGTTAAGTACCGTGGAGTAGGTTCCAACTCATAGTGACCCTGTTCAGGCTTTCCAAGCCTGTAAATCTTTACGGGATCACAAAGCCTCATCTTTCTCCCGCAGAACGGCTGGTAGTTTCAAACTTAAGACCTTAAGGTTGGCAGCCCGATTGGTAACCATTTCGCTACCAGAGCTCTTTATTGACGTTTATTAATTCCTCCTCTGAATGAAACCTGTAGCTAAGCTTTCGTGCCACCAGATGGCAGTCATGCTATTGTCATGAAAAGTTGGGCCATAACTTTTTGGAAGGTGTGTAGTGATCATTAAACTGAAGCAGCTTTTGTAAAAGACCATCAGCAACTGCAGAGGAATTTGGTGAAGCAAATGCTGCCAACATTATATTATCTAGGAGAATGGACAGATAGGAGCGCAAAGTGAAAAGGAGAAGGAGTTTACAGGGGGCAGAAATTGAGATTCAGAGTAATGTAATTACCCAACAAGGAGCTCTGGTAGCGTAGTGGTTACGAATCGGGCTGCTAACTTCATGGTTAACAGTTCAAAACTACCAGCTGTTCTGCGGGAGAAAGATGCGGCTTTCTGCTCCCGTAAAGATTGACAGCCTCGGAAACACTGTACAGGGTCGTCGCTATGAGTCGGAACCGACTGACTCCACAGCACATCACAGTAACACAACATAATTACCCAGCATCATGCAGTTAGAAACTGGCAACATTTACCTAGTTATGTCTTAGGAGTCCTGCCTTGGTGTGTACAGTAAGCTCCGGACTGCTATCCACAAGGTCTGCCATTCAAACCCACCAGCCATTCCTTGGAAACCCTATGTAGGCTCACTATGAGGCGAAACCAACTCAGTGAAACCTAACAACGTCTATTATATTTACCTTCTTTTTAAATACCAATGTTTTATTATTATTTTCAAATTGGCACTCATAGGAAGGAGTATGTTTTAGACAGTGACTCTTTAGGCTCTATTTCTTAATCTGCAAAAATGAACAATTAAACCTAGTGCATAGATCACAAAATCTCTTCTGGTTTTAATATTCTTTGATGTAAACTCAATTCAGTTTGCATTTGGGAGCACTGGCCCTGGCTCTGCTATTCATTTGGTTTGTTTCCACGAACAGTTTCTGTGGAAGTATGAAGTGGTATACAACTAAAAAACTCTAGGAATTCAAATTGCATAATTACAAGATACTGTTTTCACGTATCCCTTTTCCCTATTAGTTTAAATTTGAATTTGTAAAATTCAAAGTAAAATAAAATGTTTTGTGTTTTTTAAAAATATGAAGGTGAGTTGAAAATTATCAGCACTTCAGTTACTGGTGATGTGACATGGATTCATCATTCACACTCTACCTGAGAGTAAGCAGCAGAGTATGGAATGGAAGCATCCTCAGTCACTGACCAAGAAAAAGTTCAAAAATCAATTATCAGCTGGAAAATTGATGCTTTCAGTTTTCTGAGATTCTGAAGGGCCAGTATTGGAACACTATCAGAAGAAAGGTTCAACAATCAACAGTGCTCATTACAGTGAGAATCTTACTGAAGAGCTGAAGGCTAAACTTCAGGTTAAATGCAGAGAACTGTTATCCAAGGATGTTGTGATATTGCATGACATTGCACGTCCATACATCTCTGCCTACATTGTTGACACTCTGCAAAAACTCAGTTTTGAGGTGTTAAAGCATCCTCCCTATAGTCCTGATCTTTCTGCATCCGACTTTCACCTGTTTGGCCCTCTGAAAGCAGCCCTTCAAGAACGAAGTTCAGGAGAGTTGGTAAAGGAAGGCTGGTGATGATAAACACAGGGAGGAAGTGGGATACATGAAGTTACATCGAGGGAATTACAATCATTGAGATGAAATAAAGTTCTTGATTTATTGAATGTAAGACTGATGATCTGTTCTATAAAACTTTACTCAATTCACAATAAAAAAGTTTGTTTGTTTTTTTTTTGAATGAAAAAAATGCTAAAATGTCACTGAGATGAATTAGTGGAAAAATTTGTTGGTCTCACTACTACTATGAAAGACAGCCCTTCGTGGGGAATTTTTTTTAAATCTACTGTTTGCTAATTCAGAACAGTTGTTGTTGTTAAGTGCCGTTGAGTCGATTCCGACCCATAGTGACACTGTATAGGGTTTCCAAGGAGCGACTGGAGACCTTGAACCACTGACCTTGCAGTTCAAACAACTTTGTAGTCTGATGCATTAGCCCACAGTGCAGACCTAGCTCTGAGGGGGAAAAAACAAGAAGGAGAAGCTGACTCCTGGCATAAGCCCTGTGGTATTAGGCATGAAATGAGTGGAAAGTCTCTTGTAGTTGTTGTCCGGGGAGGAGCCTATTGGAGTTTCACCATTAGAACCCTGACAAGAGAATCATTTACATTAGATCTCCAATGGCAAGAGACTTCTTGCTAGAGAATGGTTAAATGCATTATCTGTAGAATTTATGCAGATTCATAATGCTACCTTTAGACTCAACACTACTGGGGATCTCCTAGACCACTCCAGGTCAGTTCAGTGATTCACTAGGAGGACTCCCAACTATGATATAAATAGTTAAAAAAAAAGCAGAACAAAATCAAAGGGAAAAGGTACATGGAGCAGGAGAAAAACAGGCACAAGTTACTAGATTCCTCTTTCAGGGGAGTCACACATTGTTGTTGTTAAGTGCTGTTGAGTTGGTCCCAATTCATAGCAACCCTATATAGGGTTTCTGAGAAGTGGCTGGTGAGTTTGAACACCAAGCTTTTAGTTTAAACCGACGTTGCAGTTGAGTACTTATTCTACAGCGCTATACCAGGACTTCGGAGTTACACATAGACAGCTACAAATATCCTGGTTGCCATCGAGTCAATTATGGCTCACAGCAACCCCAGGTGTTACTCCATAGGATTTTCTTGACTAATCTTTACTATACAGGGTTGCTATGGGTGGGAACCGACTCGATGGCATTTAACAACAACAATCTTAACGGAAGCAGTTTGCCAGACCTTTCTCCCATGATGCTGCTGCATGGGTTCCAACTGCTAACCTTTAGATTAGCATTTGAGTGCAGATCATTTATGCCACCCTGGGACCATGGAGTCACTGAGGACATGTTTAATTTTCCTAGCAATGAGACATGACATATATGAAATGTTTCTAACTGGAGAAGCTCATCAGAGACTCAGTCACTAGGGCTTTTATTGGAAGCTGATCACATAGGTAGCCTCTGCTGAGCATATACCAACATTCCAGGCTTATAGAAGGAAAGTAAGTACTCAGCATAAACCATATTGTTTGTACAGACTGACATAGTGAGCCACTCTCATTACTCTGGCAATGGTGAGAACCCTCCTGGAATTCAAGGTAGCAGACACCAGCCAAGAGTCAACCTTATGAGCAGGCCAGCTCTGTTAGCCCTTTTCTACACTCAGATATAACCAAGCTGATGTCTGAGCACCGAACATACTGTGGAACAGGAATAACAATGGCCGTTTAAAAGATGATTCAATTAGAACGAATAATTTGTTTTTGCCAGGATTTTCTGGATCTGGAATTTTCTGTAGCACTAGAGCATGGTGCTGTAGAATAAACACTTGATCACAAGGTCAGTTTGAACCACAAGATTGGCAGTTCAAGCTCACCAGCTGCTCCTCAGAAACCCTATACAGGGTCACTGTGAGTTGAAACCAACTCTACGATGGTACATAACAACAAAAACAGAGCCAGGAAATGTTTCAGGGAATTAGGAATCTGTTCAACACAGCAAACCTATTCTGCCCTTTAAGAGGGTATGCATATTTACATATTAAAGATTCTAGGAAGTCTTTCTGTATGATCAAATTTTGTTTAACCCAATGTAGCTTTTATTTTCATGGACAGCCCCCCACCCTTCCCTTTCTTTCTAATATCCTCGTTTGGGAAAAACTGCTTTTACCACGTTGGTTGAGGATACTTGACTTTTTCCTGGGGAAGAGGAACTGACCTCGGATATCCAGTCTGTTGTGTAAGCATTGTAGTCTATTGTATATAAATATTTACAATTTTGAACTGTATGCAATTTTTATTGTAGAGGGTGGGTTCAGTCATTCTAAAAAATGTCTCTTCAAGGAATAGTAACAAGGAAGCTGCAAGCCACCGCATAGCATGGATGAACCTTGAGGACATTATGTTGAGTGAAATAATTCAGTCACAAAAGGAGAAATACTGCATAGGACCACTACTGTAAAAGACAAGGAAAAAGAACCCATACCAAAGGGGGGGGCCGTGGCGGGATTCTTTGCTGGTTACCGGGATTTGGACGGTGGGGTGAGGGGAGGGACGGGAAGGTGGAACACAGGGTAGGGAATAGACATAGGATAGCTTGGGTGCTAGGGAGGGGGTCAGTACACAAGAAGGGGAGGGGAATGGAAGAACAAGGTGGATGGGAAAATAATTAGGCAGGTTTACTACATGGACTAAGTGGGACAGAGGTAAATAATGATGTATGCACAACCTTGGAACAACAGAACTCTGTGATACAGGGATTGAGGCAGGGCTGGAATGGGTAAAAGGGGGGAAATAATCTTAAGATGCTTGGCTGTCTTTTGAATCTTGGTTTCCCTGGCACACCATTATAAACTAGACATTTAAGGGGGTAAGAGAGCTATAGCCAGAAATATGACCATAGAAAGCTTGTAAGTCCGTCTTCTGCCTATAACTAATTGGAATACCTAAAATGAGGCTACAGTGTGCCCAATGAAGTAGGCTTCCTGCGGAGCCTCTGCATTAAATAAGACCATAGGTGGAATCCTGAACCCCATCCAGAATCTTCAGAGGTGGGAAATTTCCACTTGAAAGGACAAGCAGACCAGCCTGGAGTGACTAGAATAACAAGTTACTTCTTGAAAGAAAGACCAACAGGAAAAATACAAAACAATAATAGTAGTGCAACTGATTACTACAAGAACAAGCAAGTTGCTAGCCCAGGAGACATCAAGGCAAGTGGTCAGGTCCCCTCAGGGCAAACCCCCTTCCAAGACTAAGACTCTTTTTGGTGACCATGTTCATCACTGATAAGGGGAAGTGAGGGAAAAACAGCAATGAAGCTGCAAGCTAAGCCCTACAATGTTTAATAGACTCCTGTGAACCTGGGTGGAGACCTGGTTGGCCAGCAGTGTAGCAAGACCTGGGGATTCCTGGACCCAGAGTCAGTGACATAGCTACAGAGGACTAGAGTGGAGAGTAAAACATCCAGCTGATAAGAAGAGAGGGCATATGCACAAGAACACCCCCACTTGCAGATAATACCCACTTGACCTGACTTCAATGACTGGATAACCAGAGCTCAACTAGAAGAAGAAAGAAGAGGAAAAAAAAAGTAATCTGATACAGTTGGATGAACTTGACCTAACCTATGGATGCAGTAGCTCAAAAGAGGGAACAAATCTTTACAGCAAGGATCATTCCCACCCTCTCCATACACAGAGTAGACAGGGATAGGCAACTTGAACATTGGCTACCCAAAATGGGGAGGGTCGGGGGGGGCACTACAAAGGGTAGAAGTAACTGGCTTACAAGCTTTCAAGAGGAAGCCTAGCTCCATAGGGTGCGGAGGAAGGTAGACTCTCCACTGAGTAGTCTTTCTGGGTGGGGCTGATGAAAGGAAATGGGAATAGGTCTCTTGTGATATAATAGTGAATAATTGTTATCAGGACTGACTGTGAGGGTTGGAAATGTAAAGGTTGACATTTTGTAGCAAAAGGAGGGGCGTGATTGACTTTGCAGTCCAGTAGCGGAGGTCCCTGGGACCATCAAGGGAGAAGAGCAGAGTGCGAGACCCTACCCAGAGAAACAGTGATGCCAGAGATGGAGGCAGAGATGATGACATGGAGAGATGGAGTGGCTGGGAACTCTAGACCCAGAGAGGGAGAGGGGCTATGTGCTTGCAGCGTATACCCTTTGGTTGGTTGATGATACATGGAGGGGATTGTAACCATGGCAATGAAACGATATATGATAGGATGAATGTAAAGCTAATGTTCTTCCATGGAAACTATCACATAATTCACAATAAAACATTTTTTAAAAAAAATGTCTCTTCAAAGAATGCTGGCAAATACTGCTATATAGAAACATGAACTCTGGACATACTGCAGTAACCAGCCTCACATATGAAATACTGCTTGTTGTTGTTAAGTGCTTTCAAGTCTGTTCTGACTCACAGCAACCTTGTATACCCTGTATAGGGTTTCCAAAGAGCAGCTGGTGGGTTTGAGCTGCTGACTTTGTGGTTCACAGTCTAAGGCTGATCCTATAGCACCAAACCAGGAGTTCAGGTTTAATGTAGGTATTATGTACATATATTTGTGTGTATATATATACACACACACACACACACATTTCCAAATTTGAAGGATAAGGCACTAATGATGTACTTTTCATTTATAGGTCGGCGAAAGCAGAAGTGGGCTGTGGACCCAAGAAATACAGCATGGAGTAATGATGATTCCAAGTTTGGCCAGAGGATGCTGGAGAAGATGGGGTGGTCTAAAGGAAAGGTATTTTGTGGAAAAGCAAAAGAAATCTAAGCTATGCAAATAGATTATAAATCAGGAGAATAGATCCTTCTTAGGAATCTGGGAGATATTTATGTTTTGGATCAATCAATGATTTTGGAGAAGTAACTTAAATGTTGTGACCTTGTTGTTAAGTGCCATTGAGTTGATTCTGACTATTAGTGACCCTGTATAGGGTTTCCAAGGAGCAGCTGGTGGGTTTGAACTGCCAACCTTGTGGTTCTCAGTCCAGTGCTGATTTTACAGCGCCATACCAAGAGTCCTTATGATGATAACATTAGAATTCTCTTTTTATCATTTAATTTTCCATGACTATCATGGGCCATTAAGTCCGTTCCAACTCACAGACCCTGTATAGAGTTCCCCAAACTATTGTGGGAGCTGAAAGCCTCATCTTTCTCTCTGGGAATGACTGGTGGCTTGAACCACCAGTGTTGCAGTCAAACTTCTGTTGCAGTCTAGTGCTTATCCTCTAGAGACACTATGCTCCCACATATCTTAAATTGGTTCTCCATGGAATTATATTTAGCCATCAGTGTGTTTAATATCAAGTGTTTTCATATTTCTAAAAGTAATATTTTATTCACTTATATAGGAGAATGTTTTCTCCTTTTTGTCACCTCCCATTATTTTTTACTCCATTAGGGCTTCTATGTAAAGGAGCTCTGGTAGCGTAGTGGTTACGAATCGGGCTGCGAACCTTAAGGTCAGTAGTTCGAAACTACCAGCCGCTCCGCGGGAGAAAGATGAGGCTTTCTACTCCCGTAAAGATTTATACCCTCGGAAACCCTGTACAGGGTCGCTATGGGTCGGAACCGACTCGACGGCACTTAACAACAACAACAACAACAACAAGGGCTTTTATTTATATATATTTCTACACTTAAATAGTTCTTGTCAAAGTCTTTCATGATCTTGTTACCAAATCTAATGGATCTTTTTTTGCTTTCACATTCCTTAATCCCATAGCAACTTTGGACAATATTACTTCTCCTTTCATGAAATTCTTCTGTCTTGACTTCCACAATACTACCTCCTGTTCTGCTTTTTCCTTATATCTCACCAGGCTACTCAGAAATGTACTGCTTGCTCTTGAGCTTTGGAGTTCATCAGGGCTCAGCCCCAGGTACTTGTTCTAAGCTCAGTCATCCCCAAACCATGATTTTGAATTATCATCTAAAGTGTGAGAACTGTTATTTTTCTTTATCTATCCCGGATCTGCCCTCAGCTGCAGATTTGTAAATTTAACAGCCTACTTGACATTTTTTATTTGAGTAACCATTTGGAGTTAACTATTTTTATTACAAAACTCTTGATCATTCTAACGCTGGTCTTTCCCAGGTTTTCTCCATTTTAAGCAGATCACATCCTATCTAACCAGTAACTCAAGCCAGAAACTTGGGAGTCATGTTTGGCTTTCCCACTTCTCTTTCTTCCCACATCCTGTCACTATTCCTTTCTATTCAGGACACAGCTGCCATCCAGCCACTGTGTCACTTGCTATGATCACTGCAACAACCTCTCAACTGCCTTATTTCCTTCTGTTCCTCCTTTGGGTACGTTCCTCCATTGATCACGTACTGTACAACAACCAGAATGATATTTTAGAACACATAAATTGGATCATATTATTCCTTTACTTAAAATTTCATTCATTTCCCATTGTTTTTTTTTTAAATAAAATCCAATTCCTACTGTAACTTCCAGACCCTGTGAGGTCTTGTTCCCTTCATATCTAATTTTCATTTCATTCACTTTGCTATAGCTTTTAGGTTCTCCAGTACAACAAACTCCCATTTTAGGATCATTGCATTTGGTATTTCTTTTACCTGGAACACCTTACAAATGAGTGCTAATTGAAACAGGAGATGAAATAATCAAACTCTTCTCGCCCACCCACCCCCACCCCCCACCCCAGGATTGTTGTTTGTTTTATAAAAGTATTTCATGGAAAGAGCCACAGAGTCTTAATACTTTCGATGGGCTTCTAGTAGTTAAGCGAGAATCCTCTTAACTTCTGAGCATCTGAAAGAGGCATATTCTACTTAGGGCTTATGTAGTCCTTAAATTTACCCTAGAGTTGAACAATGCAATCCATTACCTTGGTATTATAGAGCATATTGCCTTATAAGAATCCATTAGATTCTATTCACCTTAAGGGCTAGGATAGTGCTTCACTCCTTGATGCCTTGTAGTCAGTTGAATAGCTGCTGAAGGAAGGAAGAAAGAAGTTGTCTCTCTTTGTTCATGATAAAAATGTTAACTTGGTTGGTATTTGTTCTTTACAGGGTTTAGGAGCTCAGGAGCAAGGAGCCACAGACCATATTAAAGTTCAAGTTAAAAATAACAACTTAGGACTTGGAGCTACAATCAATAATGAAGTGAGCAACAGTGTCTTTAGGATGTTTTCATTGCATAATTGACTTCAGTTTTGTAAATATAGAAGTTACAATCAAATCTAGTTGATTAATTTTTATTGTTCAAACATATATTTTTTTAGAAAACAAAAGAATCCTGAACTAAGCTGGTTCTTCATAATGTAACATGTTTTCATCTTATCTTATATAGTCTTTAAGGGATCCTTTATTTGCTGATGCCTAGTTTTATTGCTAAACTTTATAAACATGAATTTTATTTTTATAGAAATATTTATTTTTGAATAGAAAATTTCAAACTTTACCTGTGTTCTAATATTAGATTACGTATTAAAAGTTGGTAGCTTTTAGTTTCAGAAATACCACATGAAAGTAGCATCTCACTACTACAGTAGTTGGATTTATTCACATTTCCTCTTAAGCATTTGATGCAGTAAATAAAAATTAATGACCTACCATACATACCATTTTCAGGATTTTTGTTCAACTTCGAAAGTGTCTAAACTGAAAGCTTTGTTCTTAAATTTTTGTAGCCAATGGAATAATACAAAATCTGGATAATTACCTTGTTTTTGTAAACTGAATTGTTTTCATCAATTTAGTAGCTCTGAGTAAAGGATTGGGGCAGCTAAACATTTCTGGGCTAATAGCTAAAATTTTAAGTCACTAAAATGTATGTGGTGTTGTAGGGTAAGCACTGAACTGTGAACCACAAAGTTGTTGGTTCAAACCCACCAGCTTCTCAAAAGCCCTGTACAGGATCACTGTGAGTTGTAATTGACTCAACAGCACTTAGTAACACAACAAAGAAATAACTTCTATAAAGTTGAATTTGATTATAGTTATCAAGAAATAGATATATAAATGTTGTTTTATGAAGGGAAGCATTGCTCAGTAACCTCATCCGTATTCCTAAACCATAAGCATTCTTAGCTCTGGTAGCGTAGTGGTTACGAATCGGGCTGCGAACCTTAAGGTCAGCGGTTCGAAACTACCAGCCGCTCCGTGGGAGAAAGATGAGGCTTTCTACTCCCGTTAAGATTTACACCCTCAGAAACCCTGTACAGGGTCGTTATGGGTCGGAACCTACTCGTTGGCACTTAACAACAACAACAATATAAACTACTTGATGTCTTGGTGTTCTCACTGATTTGTACTCATACTGTGGAGCTTATTAGCTAACTACCTTACAAGTAGGTACTGAATGATGCAGGGAACTTGGAGTCACCACTCTTCTCTCTTCACAGTATTGTTTGCTAAAGTGGGGCCCTTGCAAACAAATACAATTAGGTCAAATAAGTTAAGCTCTAATGAGCAAAGTAAAACCTATAAACCAAACCCATTGCCAACGAAAGCCCCCTCATGCTCTTGTCCTTTGAATCACCTTACTTTACCAAATAATGCATGTTATATAAGCGTGTGTTTGTTTTGTTTTGTAAGCCATGCAACCCCTTGTGTATTAATATGTTTGCTTTGTGTGTTTTTATACATGTGCATATTTATTTATGTGGGCACCTGATGTGTGGAAATATGGTACATAATTTCCCTTAGGAAAAAACTAGTAATTTTATTTTTCTTTATTTTAATATTTAGCATGCAGATTACCTGTTGGTTATTTGACTATAATTTGACTATCGATTGTTTATTCATATTTGAAATCAGAACTCAGAGAGTCCTTTACTTAATATTCTCATTTACTTACTTACTGACAGCTATGAATTTCATTCTGACTTATAATAATCCCACAGGACAGAAAAGAACCATAGGGTTCTACATAGGAACAGATAGCCTCATCTTTCTCCCTCAGAGCAACTTTGTGGTTTGCAGCTCAGTGCTTAACTCACTGTACCACCAGGAGCCCTTCAAAAATTGTTGTTGCTGTTAAGTGCTATCGAGTTGGTTCTGACTCATAGCAAACATGCGTAGGGGTTTCCCAGGAGTGACTGGTGAGGCTTGAACTGCTGACCTTGTGGTTCAAACTGACCTTGTAGTCCAGTGCATTATCCTGCAGCACCACAGCAGGACTCCTTAAAAAATATTCCTGTGGATAAATTGCATTTCAAGTTTGTATTATTTTTTCCACTGAAATTTATAAAATAACATTTTTGGTGAAACACTTAAAATTTTACATTAGCTACTATATTTCCCTGATTCCAAAGTATATCTTATTTCAGTCAACGTAGGTAAAATGCAGGATTTCTTCTAATACTTGTTATTTTCAGGACAACTGGATTGCTCATCAAGATGATTTTAACCAGCTTCTGGCTGAACTGAACACTTGCCATGGCCAAGAAACAACAGGTAGGAAGAGCCTTTACTTTGTTATCCATTTGGCTTGTAGAAGACATAACATTTAAGTTTAAAATGCTTGTTTTTAATAACTATTTATTATCAGCATCATGTATGTTTGAAATTCAGTTGACTGAAGCTATTGTCGTGAACCATCCAGTTAGTTCTGACTTCGAGTGCCTCTATATAGGATTTGTGAGAGCAGCTAGTGAGTTTGAATTGCCAACCTTGTTAGCAGTCCAGTGCGTATCCTACAGAGCCATACCAGGACTCCTTGAAGCTATTACAATTATTAATTTCTGTGTACATTTTAATGGTGTTTCCCCTTGATTATACCTTTAGTCAGAAAAAGGCAAACATGTTTTAGTTTGAGAATAGCAAGACAAATTCAGTTTACACTTTAAATGATAAAGTGATTTTTCCCAGAATACTTGAGTTTGACTAAAATGACGTTTTAAAAATACAAAGCAAAAATAGCAAGTAGAGACATACAATAGCAGTCATTGAAGGTTTAATAAAAAAACAATCTTTTCTGTGTTGGTTCTCCCTAGTGAAATCTCTTTTACCTTTTCATTCATGTTTAGAGGTATAGATTGTTCAGGTACAGTAAAAGTTTACACAAGGAGCTCAGTACTACAAATAGTACTCTCAAGCTTAGGAAATGAAACAACTGAGCGTTGAGCCTTCTGTGGTAAATGGGCAGGAAGATTGTGCTGTTAGACGAGTGCATGGGCAAGGATGGTATACTGTTCTCCTCAGACCTGTTAACCTTGATTATGGTTTTAGAGCAAAAGGGCAGTGGTTTTCTCACATGCTTGTTTAGAATTTGAGGGTGTCATTTCAATTAGTTCTGGCTGGATATTTATGAAGAAGTCTAGAGCTATTACCTTTTCTGCAAACACCTTTTTTTTTCTTTAAGTTTTTATTGTGGATTGAGTGAAAGTTTACAGGGCAGATCATTAGTTTTACATTCAACAAATCATACAACTTGTTTCATCACAATGATTCCAATCCCCTCCGTGTACCATCAGTTAACAGTATTTCTCTCTATTCACTTAAGCTCTTTTTTTTTTTTTTTTTTTTTTAAATACTCAGGCATATATAATTATTTATACCACCAAAGGATTCTGCAAGTCTGCCTCCTGGCCACTGTCTCTTAGACCCTTTCTTCCCATGAATCTAGAGTCCTCAGCCGCTCCCCCTCTCCATGTCCCCATCTATGCCCCTGTCTCTGGTGTCGCTGCTTCTCTGGATAAGGTCCTGCATTCCACTTGTGCTCTTCTCCCTTGATGGCCCTAGGGTCCTTTGCTTCTGGACTGTAAGATTAACTGCTTCCCCATTTTTGTTATGAAACTCCTACCTTTACAATTGTGACAGTCGCAATTAGTCATGGTAACAATTACTCAGTATTGAATCATAAGAATCTTATCACCATCTCTTTTAACCAGACCCATCTAGACAAGATAAAAACTATTCAGTGGGGACTTTTTCTTCCCCCACACAATCTTAAACTAAACTCCCTTTTGAAACCTTGTAAGTCAGTCATTTCGTGCCTTTATCGCCCCATCATTTTAGTTTGGTGTTAAGTGCCGTTGAGTCAATTCTGACCCATAGCGACCCTGTATAGGGTTTCCAAGGAGCAGCTGGTGAGCTTGAACCACCGACCTTGCAGTTCCAACTACTGTGCAGTCTGATGCATTAGCCCACAGCGCCACACCAATGTCTAAATTGCCCATCCCTATCTACCCTGTGAACAGAGGGAATAGCACTGATACTTGATGTGAAGACGCCTTCCCTCTCTGTTGGTATTTAGAGTTACTGCCTCCATAAGTATAGCTCAGGTTCATCAAATTGTAGCAATTTACCCTTGTTTCCATTATAATAAATTTTTTTTTTTTAATCTTCCTCTGGTAGCGTAGTGGTTACGAATCGGGCTGCGAACCTTAAGGTCAGAGGTTTGAAACTACCAGCCGCTCCGCGGGAGAAAGATGAGGCTTTCTACTCCCGTAAAGATTTACACCCTCGGAAACCCTGTACAGGGTCACTATGGGTCGGAACCGACTCGACGGCACTTAACAACAACAACAACAACAGTCTTCCTCTAGTTGAGTTCTGATTATCAAGCCATCAAAGCTAGGTCAAATGGGTACTATCTGATAGTTTGGATGTTCTTGTGCATCTTTCCTCACTTCATATCAGCTGGCTGCTTCACTCTCAGCCCTAGCCCTCTGTGGCTATGTCCTTGTCCATGGGCTCAGGTGTCCCCAGGTCTCAACACACTTTGGACCAACCAGCCCTTCCTCCTCTCTCTCATCTCCAGGTCAATGGGAGTGTATGAACCATGGTTGAACTCAGCCCATTTTTTCATTGCTGCCTTTCTCTCTCTTCCACTCACCAGTAAGCCAATGTGGTCTCCAGCAAGCTTACATGTCTGCTCATGGGTTCCCTTTGAGTTTCAGTGTTGGACGGGGGGGATTATCCTGAAGGAACTTGATTGCTTGCCTAGATGGCTTCCTGGTGAACAGCTTGCTTATTCTTGTAGTAGCCATTCATGCTGACATTTTTGTTTTGGGTTTTTCCTGCTGATCTTTCTTTGAAGATGTATCTTCTGTTGCTCTAGCTATTCCAGGCTGGTCTGCTTATCCTTTCCTTTCTAGTGGGAATAGCCCATCTCAGAAGCTTCTGAATGGCATTTAGGATTCCACCTAAGTGCCTATATTCTGCAAAGGCTTTGCAAGAGGCCTATTTCACTGGGAAAGTTCTAGAATCCCTTTTAGGTATTCCATTCAGTTATAGGCTGAAGACGGGCTTACAGGTTTTCTGTAATCATGTTTCCCAACATTCCTTTCTATCCCACTCAAGTGTCTATTTTACAATAGTAGGCAAGGGAAACCAATATTCAGAAGATTGTCAAGCATCTTAGTGCTATTTTCTCTCTTCAAACTATGCCTAGATCCCTGTATCACAGAGCCCTATTGTTCCAAGGTTGAGCATGCATGACTATTTACCTCTGTCCCACTTAGGACATGCAAACCTGTCTCAGTGTTTTCCCCTATCTACCTTATTCTTCCACCTCCTTCCCCTCTTGTATTGCCCTCCCTAACTCCTGTGTGTCTGTCCTTACACTGTGCTTTACTGTCGCCTCCCTCCACCTCTCCCCTGAACCCCCAACCCCACCGTTGTGGTTATCTTATATTTCATTAACTTTTCCCCTTCATTTAAGAGACAGTCTGTTTTATCCTTAATCTTCCTGACCTTCTCATTACCTGGATCTCTGTTCCTACGTGTTTACCTTCTTTCACATTGTAATTGTTTTGATCATAGACTGATCTCCCATATCCTCTGAATTTGTTCTTTTAGTTTTAGTCTGTTCTTGACTCTTCCATTTTTTGATTGCGTTCTGGGTGATGCTGCCACGTACATCAACCATCAGTCTCTGTTTGTTGTCTCTTATGGTTGGTTTTCAGTCCACAGAACACCCCTTAGGATGTTTTTCATTGTAGGGTTGGCTTTGACAAAATCCCTTAGCTTCCGTTTATCCTGGAATGTTTTGATTACACCATTGTATTTGATTGACAGCTTTGCTTGGTAGATGATTCTTGGTTTACCTTTTTTCTTTCAGGGTTTTATGTGTGTCTCCCCATTGCCTTCTTGCCTGAGTGGTTTCTGTTGAGAGATCTGAGCTTAATCTGATTTGCTTGTCTTTGTATGTTACACTTCTCTTTTCCATAGCTGCTTTCAGGATTCTGTCCTTATCTTTAATTTTGGAGAGCTTGATTGTTATATGTCTTGGTGATTTTCTGTTAGGGTATATCCTTCCTGGGGTTCATTTAGCTTCTTGAATGTTTATCTTTTCACTTTTCAGGATGCTAGAGAAATTTTCTTCCAGAAGTTCTTCAACTATCTCTTCTGTGGACTTGTGTGATTCTTCCTGTTCCAGAATGTCGATAAGTCATAGGTTATTCCTCTTCATGTTGTCCAATATGAATCTTAGGCCTTCTTCAGATTTTTTTATCCTTTTTTCTGCTTGTTCATCTGTCTTAGTAGTATTGAGAGATTATCTTCTAGCTCACTAGTTCTGGCTTCCATCTCTTCAATTCTGCTCTTTTGCCCTTTCACTGTATTGTCCATTTCTGATCGTCTATTAATCATTTGGACCTCTTTTTGTAGGCTTTGAATTGTTTCCAATGCTGTATCTGTCTTATTTGATTGTTTCTGTAGCAGTTTCCTGACTTCTTCCTTATTTTTCTCAACTCCATTGTATAGTGTTTTGATACATTTTATAATCATTTTTCTGAATTCCTTCTCAGGCATTTCCAAAGCCTGCCCTCCTTCCAGTATAGTGTGTAGGTCTACCTCCAGCTCATTTGTATCAGTCACTTTATCTCGTTTCTGGACATGTGCTGATATGGTCGTCTCTTTCTGTTTTTTGGGCATGTTCAGTAGTTAGCTGTGGCCTTAATACTTAGATGGGTGTGTGTTTGGGTATTTTTTATGCTTTCTGATTGCCTACAGGTAGATGTGATCAGGCGACTGGCTTCCCTTTTCACTCTTCATTCTGAAAATTTCAAGATGCCACTCTTGGTCGTTGTGACGTAACTCAGGATTTAATTTTTGGCCTGTTTCCTTTTTTGTCTCCCTGTCCCACTCCACAACACCTGTTCAGGCCTTTTTCCTAGTGATAAACAGTTCACTAGGCCGGCTGTTAAATTCAGGGCTGTCTGTGGCTGTTTTGTGCTTCCGTTGGTTTTAAGTGGAAACTGTCTCTTTTAATTTCAAGGAGATCTGTGCGCATGTGTAATTGAACCCTCCGGGGGTAGGAGTGGGGTGTCTACTTTCTCAGGCCCCACCTCTAGTCACCTGAATGGAGGTGCGCAGACAGCAAGAAACCAGTGAACAGATACAAAAACAAAGAAAATCCACACTTTTATCTCTGTGGCTCGGTCAGACGTTAATGGCTGCTCTGATCCTTCCTCCGTTTGGTCTCGCCCAAGATGGTGGCTCAGGGAGCA